AATGAAAACAGAGTTCAAAGATAAAATTCTATCTTCCGTTTCTTTTATGAGTCTCTTAAAAACTCAGGGTACCTTTTTAATAGCCCTTAGAGAAGATTAACCTTTAACATCATCATTTACATGTAATGTTGTCACATTTTACAATGTCATTTACATCACTTTTAGCCTTAGATAGTTGGTTTTGCTAACCATATTGTAAAACTACTAACATTTCTTATTCCCAAATCTAATAGAGGAAGGTTCAACTGCTTTTCTTCTGTTTCCCTGGTGTAGCACTTTTTGACAGAACTTTCTACAATGATAGAAATAATCTATGTCTGCGCTGGTCCGTACAGTAACCACTAACCATATGTGGTTTATTGAGCATTTGAAACATGGCCAGTATAACCAATGAACTAAATTTTAAATTTTATTAATTTTAATTATCCTAAGTTTAAATGGAAGTAACACATATTGCTTGTGACTACTGTATTGGAAGCACAGCCTTGTGTTTTTTCAGCACAGTCAGATGGAATTCTGAGAACCTGCTTCTTTTCTCCTAGCAGTTCTTAATTCCCTTCCTGGGAGCAGGAATAATCTTCTTTAAATGTTACTCTTGTTATTCTTGTACTAATTAAGGTATTTCTTTCATTATAGCCCAATGTATAATTGTTGAGTTTTACCATAAACCAAAAAGAAATTATATTTGTAGTTAGCCAAATTGGACATTTAATTCTGTGTAGTCCTTACACAATAGGGAATGGCATATACTTTGCCCTCTCTTAATTTGGGTGATTATATTATATGGTAGACCGACATTCCAAATGTATCTTTACTTGTTTACGAACATCTGGGCATTTCTATCTGCTTTCTTAAGTGCTGCCTAAGATGAAAGCAGGGTAATAAGTAAAAAGAGCTTGGACATGGAGTCAGATTCCAAATTCTCGCCAAGGCTTCCTGAACAAGTTTCTTCCTTCTCTGAGCCCTCACAGAGCTGTTGTCAGGTTTCCTCTATCAATTCAACCCTAGAATTTATTTTATTTTTAAATTTTAATGGCTTTAGGGGGTACAAGTAACTCTTGGTTGCAGGGATGCATTGTATAGTGGTAAAGAATCAACCCTAGATCTGTTGACCATATGACTTTCTATTTTAGGAACAGTGTGGCACCTGATATCAGAGTGGGTGCTCCTTGGTGTTTGTTTGTATTGCCTAAAGGAAAAATTGTATTTTTATTTTAACAAATACCCCTTCTTACGCCTCACACTATTTTTTTTTTTTTTTAATCTAAACATTGGCAGAGGAATAATAACTTATTTGAAGATACAGTTTCTTTGGAAAGTAGAGGCCTTTGGTGATTTAAAATACATATTAGTTTTCAGTTTCCTTTTCTACTATACTGACATGATGAAGTACTATTTTAATAGATCTTTATCTTTTAACGGGTTTTTGCATCACATTTTAAAAGAATGATTGGTCACTTAAAAAGGTTTACAGAGTTGTAAAAACTGATTCAGTTTAAAAGGGGTAACTTGTGGAAAGTATATTCCATAGTAGACATCCTGGGTTGATAGTACAATCAAAGTGTTTCTTTGTATATATCAAGTACCAAAAGAATAAACTAAAGCAGTTAAGAAGTTAGAATAAGTCAATGATCTAAAAAATATGAGTGCTGATAGATAGATACGCTAGATTTTTTTAATGTTTTATGTGAAGATTCTGAAAACATTATCAACGACTGGTTATCAGTAGGCTTGGAGAAATTTAAGTTTTAAGATGTTCACAGGAAAACTGAGAAAGTATGACTAAACCAAATACAAATTTAAAGTTTTTTTCTTACAAAGCATTCGACCTGCTGCCCAAGAAAAGGCTTTCATCTTTCAAGATGAAAGAATTAAAACAAAATGAGAACACTGAAGGCTACTACAGAAGCATGCATTTATTTGGGCATATGGTAGTAATCCACTAAACACATAGTTATAATCTATTAGAGAATAACCAGGACAGATTTGCCAGGCAAAGATTCCGCCAGATAAGCATGCTTTTTACTATAGAAAAACAAAAGGCGTAGAGAAGTACATATGACAGTGTTTTCTTTTTTATTTCAAAACCACTTCTGCATCTTTTAAAAAAAAGTATTGCCTTCATCCCTATAAACAGTTCAGATGCTGAATGCCGTAAGTTTCAGTGATCAGTTTCATTATTCCCCGAGCCGCCAACAGAGTTAATTGCACTGAAAAGACATTTGTGTGCTCTTCAATATAATAAGTGTTTGCAACTGGATTTCAAAGGAGTATAACACGTGAGTTAGTTATTGATTAATGAGTTAAACCACAGACATTGAAGATGCAGAATCAGATCATCTGAAATAAGAGGATAGGGTATGGGCATTAGTGTTTTGCACATGGAGACACTCAGCACTTCCTGATTGACTGAGGACATCAGATTTCTAGCTGTATTTTGCAGTTAAAAATAGTGGAAGTTATTTGTACTTGTTACAAAGTGACTTAAAACTGTAGAGAGAGTTTTCAGTTTATATGATTGAACTTATTTGGTTCTGCTGTGTGACAAGTGAAATTATTGTTTATCAGAATAAAGGTAATTACATATTTGGCCTAAAATTAATCAATATGAACATAGAAAAATTGGAGCTCAAGCACAATCAAGACCTTATTAAAGCACAATTTTGCTTTAATAAAGCAAGGTCAAATAGCAGCTGTGGACTAAATAGAAATGATAGCATATGCAAGAAAATAAAATGATTTTTTTTTGAGATGGAGTCTCACTCTGTCGCCCAGACTGGAGTGCAGTGGCTGCTCCCGGCCACCTCAGCCTTGACCTAAAATAATTTTTTTTTTAGTTGGAGTCTCAGTCTGTCACCCAGGCTGGAGTGCAGTGGCACTATCATGGCTACTCCAGTGTCAAACTGCTGGGCTCTGGAGATCCTTCCACCTCAGCCTTCCAAGTAGCTGGAATTACAGGCATGTGCTACCCCATCTAGATAATTTTTGGTTTATTGTAGAGATGAGGTCTTGCCAAATTGCCTGGGCTGGTCTCGAAACTGCAGGCTCAGGCAATACACTCACTTCAGCCTCCCAAAGTGCTGGGATTACAGGCTGAGCCATTGAGTCTGCCTAAAATAAATTTTCTAATCATGATATTCTTAGATAATTATAAAATTCTTCAAATTTCTTTCTGTATTTACAATTTTTTGTTATTTTTTACCTAGATTTTTTGAATAGTACATAGAATTTTAGAGTTTGAATAGCTTGTTATATATTGGTCAGCTGGCAATGGAACTGTAAATAGGTTGTAGGGTGTTGGCCCTTTGTTTGTGACTGTATATACTGGTTCATGGTATTTTAAAGGAGATGGAGAGCATCAATTTTTTTTTAAGCCAAGCATATTGGTTGATAGACTATATTTATTATTTTATGAATGAGAGATGAACAAGATGAACTAGAGATTAGAGTTTTATAGTTGTTTTTGTGAAAACATTATGAGTTTTTTAGCAAATCCTTATGGTATTGTTGACTGTTGCTGGGAATACCACATAATATGATCAGTGAATGTCTATTTGTTAGAATTAACTATGGCAGAGCTATTAGTATTGAGACAGAGGCTCAAGTTGACCAGATGTCTAAAAAGGAAATAACTGAGCAGTCTGAGGGACAGTAGTGGCCATGCCTCATTGGTTGGTCTCATACCCCTCAGTAAAGGAATAGATTTATGGAGGTGAGGCCTTCATGCTAGTGTCAAGGTGAGAATTGTTTTATGAATGTTTATGAAGCATAGTCAAAAGGGTTTTCTTGTACCTGGGGTTGCCCCAATGAGTCATCTTTTCCCCTCATCAGTTATTACACCTTGGAAGTTGTTGTGTAACAAAGTGTATGTCTATCTCTATCAGCCATGCCCCTCTAAACATAAAAGATCACAGACAGTCTCAGTAGTTCTATTTCACCAGGGTAGGGCATAGGTCAACATTCACAGTCTGCCCACCAGGGTGATGTGGAATTGACTAAAGTCCAATTCCTTGAATTTCTGGTTTCTGAGTTGTTTTTGACTCATCCATAATTTCAAATCCAGCCCACCATGGGACTTGAGGCTAGATAAGCAGGTTTTCACCAGGTCCCTAACAAGAGAAAAAAAGGAATTTGTGCTTTGGTTTACACTTCTATTCTCAAGGGCTTTTGTTTTTATTTGAACATAACCACATTAAAATGTGTTTTCTAAACTTAGTCCCCGAGTTTGAAGTTCATAATCTAAGAATCAGAAGGGATACTAAATATAAATTATGATGGAAAAAAAGACCTCACCTTTAAATGAGAATATTATGTACTGCAGTCAGTGGTTTTTGCTCTGTTGTTTTCTATTCACAGTGCTCATTTGTCAATGACATCAGTCAACCTTAAGTCAAATAGTATCCTGTCCAAGTAATGCCTTATTGTTTACCAACTTTTTGAGATAAATATTGCTAATATTCTGCTTTCAATAATTTAGTTGATTACAAAAGAAAGTAAGACATTGGTACTTTCCTTTCCTAAAAAAATTAATCAGTTTTTTGGGAAAGGAAAATAATATGAGCCTGTTGGAAATCCTCAAATAATACAAAAATATATAAAAATGAGGTGTTTACTGGGTTTTCAGTGATTTTTTTTTCTCTCTCTCCGTGTATATAGATAAATGAAAACTGAATATATTTGGATGTGCATATACCATACACAAACTTCCAGAACTTGTTATGTAATTTTACATCCTATCATAGACATCCTTCTTCAAGCCTTTCTGATGTATAGGAGGTATACGTTTTAAATTTTGGTGGATATTACCAACATATCCTCTGAACATTATAGCATATTCAAAATAACTTTCTTCCAGGAAGTATTTTATTTTATAAAGAATCAGTCACTTTTTTGGAAGTGAACATTAGTTGATCATATAAGATTATGAGACTAAAGGAAGGTAGATAACTTTGTGAATGCAATGCAAACTTCTAAATGTGGTCAGCATTCTTTTTCCACAGGGCCCATTTGGAGGCCAGTGCTGAGAAGTGGAACAGGTTGTTGACATCTTTAGAAGAACTGATCAAATGGCTAAATATGAAAGATGAAGAGCTTAAGAAACAGATGCCTATTGGAGGAGATGTTCCAGCCTTACAGCTCCAGTATGACCATTGTAAAGTAAGTTAACAACCCGTAGTGGGTATCATTTTTTTTTTTTTTTTGCTTTAATTTTGGTGAAGTAAATACTTGGAATGAAATTCTAGATGAATTTCAAACTTGAACTGAGTATCACAGGTCCCCCCTCCCCTTCTAACTTTCAGTATTTAAGCCTTTTATTTAAATTGTGTGCATTGCTTCTATCTGTTTTAATTAAATTGTCTCTTCATATTTAACCAAAATTCTTTCAAGCATTATAGGTATCTAAAGCATAATATTGACAGGTATAGTGGCATGTATCTGTAGTCTCAGGTACTCCTGAGAGGAGACTGAGGTGAGAGGATTGCTTGAATCAGGAGTTTGAGGCTGCTGTGAGGATGATTGTGTCACTGCACTGCAGCCTAGATGACAGAGTAAGACACTCTCTCTAAAAAAAAAAAATAAAATAAAGCATATTTCTTTTAGCTTATTATGATATTTATCTAACTTTCTAGTGGATTTTAGAATATTAATATATTGGGAAATTTTGTATTGTTTAGATGAACATTAAAAAAATAAAAGGGTCTTGTGTTAGTAAAGAGATAGGATACATTTAAGTCGTAAAGCATATAAAGACTATAGTATTTAAGATCATTTTATGCTTCATTTTTCTGAACTTTGCCTTTTCTTTGACTTACATTTTTATTCTACTCAAATTTCCGTCTTTATGCAAATTTGCACTTTTACTCTGATTAGTAAATAGATATGCTGAAATGTTAACAACTGATGCATTAATTCTTAGATTTCTGTATTATTTAATTTTTTGCCATGTTCACTTTTCATTAATTTATTTAATATCCCTTCATGCCCATTTTCTCATATATTATATATCATCTTTTTATTGTTTATTTTACTCTTCACATGCAATACAAGTTCTCATTCTAAACCTTAAGATTTAATGTGATGCTAGAATTCGATTCTTATTTTTTAAATGACAACTACTAGCCCACACATCTTCTAAAGAAAGATGTCATCTATGTAATAAGTTGCTTTAATTCAAAATGATAAGACCTTGATATTTATTTTATTTTAAACCCTTGTGACTTGGTTCTTCAAATTACCATTTTGGTATATTTTCTCTTCATACTTGAAGAGAGAATATGATACAGAAATAACTCTAAGATAAGAAAAAGGAAAATACTGTTGGTATGCAATGTCCAAAGTAGTAATAATAGAATCTAAGTTACCGAATTAAGGAAGTCACGTTTTTCTCCTTACTTTTTTCAACTTTTCATTCTATTTAATTATTCATACATCATTCCCTTTTTGTGGGTTAAAGTATTAGTGACAAAAAAATAGAATAATACAAAGCTCTTCTAATAGAAGTGTTCTGAGTCGGGCTCAGTGGCTCAGCCTGTCATCTCGTGCCTTGGGAGGCTGAGGTGAGCGGATTGTCTTAGCCTGCGGGTTTGAGACAGAAACGATGTTGGTAATAATACTGGTTTATTTATTCATCAAGTATTTATTGAGAGCCTAATATGAATCAGCACTATTCTGATCACTGGAGCATGAGTCATAAACTAAACCAAATTCTTACTGAGTAGTAAGAGACAGACTCTTACTGAGTAGTAAGAGACAGACACTAGACAAATAGGTAATAAGTATATAATATGCCTTATGGTTTTTCAGTGCCATGAGAAAATAAAGCAAGGTCAAAGAGAAAAAGTGGGATGGGAAGGTATAGGCAGGGGTGGTATTTTATATGGAAAAGCTCGGGAAAATGTCACAAATGGGGTGATTTTTGAAGACAGCCCTGATGTGAATGAAGTAGTGAGTACTTAGTAACCCTTCTTGGAATAGAAACTCTAGGGGAAGGACAGAAAACACAAAGGCCACAGAGGACTGCATTGTTTGGGGCATATTTGAGGACTAGCTGGGAGACCAGTATGTTTTAAGCAGTTTAGCCAAATAGAGAGCAAAGTAGGAGAGGAAGTTGGGGTGGCAGGTGGGAGGAAGAGGTTCAGATCATGTATATTAGGCATGTCGAATCTGCAGCACACAGGCTTCATGTGGCCTAGGACCACTAGTAATGTGGCCCCATAAAACCTTTTAACATCATGTGTGTTTTAGTGTCTTCTTCATGTCTCCATGTGTAGTCCCTTTTCTGGGGTTCACAATCACACCTTATTCATGCATTGCTTTTTGGCAGCACATACATTTGTGAGCAGCTGTTTTCGATTATGAAGTACGTGAAGGACAAAATTTGAACAAACATTTCTGATGAGCACCTCAAGAACTCACTAAGAATTGCGACCACTTCCATTCAACCAGACACTGATAGATTAGTTTTACAAAAACAAAGTCAAATTTCCCACTAGTTTTATATTGTTCTCATTTTTCTAAACTTTATAATAAAATATAAAAAAACAAAAAAAGTCTTTCCATATATATACTAACTATATTATAATAGTTTATATGCAGCCCAAGATAATTCCTTTTTACTCCATGCGGCCCAGGGAAGCCAAAAGGTGGGACACACCTGATGTAGATCCTTGAAAGTTCTTTCTGAGGACTTTGGTTTTTACTCAGTGAAATGGGGAAAACCACAGAAGATTTGAATATCCATAGTGCTGTGAGCTGACATATAACAATTACAGCTTACATTATGGGGAGTCAAATATAGAGGAGTTTGGAAATGTGTTTCAGGAATCCAAGTAAGAGGTGGTGGTGACTTGCATAAGAGTATAGCAGTAAAGATACTGAGGAGTAACTGGTTTCTGAATGCATTTGGAAACAATCAACAGGATTTGCTGATGGATTAGATATGTGGAATATGAGCGGAAGCATCAAAGATGCCAGGAGTCAAAGGTTTTTGAACAATGAAAGTGGAAAATGGAAGTATAATTTAGAGAGTTAGGGAAAACTGATGGAAGAACAGTCTGGGGAAAAATTAAAGGGTTTGGTTTTTGACATGTTAAGGTTAAAGATGTTTATTAGGCTGTTAGATATACAACTCCGAAGTTAGGAGAAAGGTCAGGACTAGAGATCAAATTTGCCAGTCTGTATACCAGCTATGGGGTTAGATGAGACCACCTAGGGAAAAAATAATTCTAAGAAATGAGCCCTAAGGAGTTCCAATTTTAGAGGTTGTGAAGATGAGGAAACTGAGAAGGCAGAGCCAGAAGGATGAAGAATCAAGATAGAACGGAGTCCAGAATACAAAAGGAGGAAAATATTTTACTAAGAAGGGCTTGGTCACAAGGATCGAATAGTGCAGAGAGGTTGAATAAGATAAAGACAAAAAATTAGTCAAATTAACCATCTAGAGACTGTCTGGCTGACCTCAGACAAAAGTCCTTTCAATGACATGATGTGGGTGGAAGCATTATTAGAGTAGACTCACAAGAGAATATGAGCAGAAGAAATATAGAAAACCACGTCAAGAATTTTTACAACAAAAGTAACAGAGAAGGGAGGCAGTAGCTATAGAAAGATTGTGGCATCAAGTAATGGTTTTATAAAGATAGCAAATAATTCAGCATGTTCTTTGCTGATAGAAATGATTCTGTGAAAGGAAAAGTCAATGATACAGGAGAGAGAGGGTGTTGTGTAGAAACAGTGACAGGGTGGGAACCAGTACACAAGTGGAGTGTGATTGGATGTGGAATATATGGGTCCAGATGAAACCAGGTTGGTTGTGTGTGGAAACATGTAGCTATTCTCTTTTATTACCTATGTTTTCTCAATAAAAGGAAACAAAATCATGAACTGAATATGAGTAAGAGAAGAAGGAAGATGTGGAGAGGACAGAAGAGATAGAAAATGTAGTCTAAGTTAATAAACCAGGAATTTACAACAAAACTACAGGGCAACATTAAGGGCACACTTGAGGTCAATGATCATGAATTTAAAGTAAGAACAGCCAATGTGAATGTTTTTCTTCCTCCTTGTTTACTTGTTTTAGTGAAGGTGAGAAGTTAATCATAGAGTTGAATTTAGCCAAGCGAATATGATGGAGGAAGAGAGAGGCAAGGGAGAGAAATAATTATACAAGGGAGTTGCAGTAATGATCGAGCATGAAATTGACACTGGGTAAGGGGAGGTGTGATATTGTGAAAGGTGTTAGAAGTCAATGAATCAGGCCAGGCTCGGTGGCTCAGCCTGTAATCCCGTGCTTTGGGAGCCGAGGTGAGTGGATTGTCTGAGCCCACGGGTTCAAGACCCGCCTGGGCAACTTTGCGAGACCTCATCTTTACAATAAATCAAAAATTAGCCAGGTGTGGTAGCGCGCGCCTGTAGTTCCAGCTACTTGGAAGGCTGAGGCAGAAGGATCGTCGGAGCCCAGCAAGTCGAGGCTGCGGTGGCTGGGAGTGTGCCACTGCACTCCAGTCTGGGCGACAGAGTGAGACTCCAACTCAAAAAAAAAAGTCAATGAATCAGACACCCCAATGGGACTAAATAATTGTTCATATTAGGAACCAGGAGAGCATGACCTATAAAGAAAGCAGGTGATGGTTAAAGAAGATATGCTAGAAATGGAGTTCATGGCAAGGTGTGTTTATTGTTAATGACAATATCAATCGTCTTTTTGTGAAAATGAGCTGTACAAGTAGCATGGAGAACAAGTATTTAGAGGAGAGCAGGGTTGTGGAAAGACTATTTCTTTGGATAACATAATCACCATGAACAGGAGGAGGGAGAGCTGGATGTCAAAATGATGACTATGAGAAGGATGGGTAATGGTGGTACAATTTGGGATTCCAACATAAAAAATGATGCTTTCTTGCTCCTTTTATCCTTTGACTCTTAAACATACGAAAAATACCATTGGTTCAGGGTAAGAGAGCAGAATAGTATAAGTTGAATGTTTGGCTCTGCTTTCTACATTTTTTGTTGCTTGGTTCTGGACTTTTCACAGCTTACAGTTATTATGATTATTTTTATCACAGGCTACTATTGAGGAATGTTCATTATCAGGTCTTACCAGGAATTTCCATTTAACTATGTACTTCTTTAACTTTGTGAGTTGTATATTAGATGGC